CTTGCTGATTGCCAAGTCATAGCTTAGAAAATTTACTTATTGGTCATACCCTGCAGCTGTCCTGATTCTTCCTCTGTTGGCTTTTCTAGCTCTTTTTAAAACGCCCCTGTTTCTCACTCTTCCTCCCACTTTCCTCTTTTGTCCTCAATTTACTTCAATTGCTGTACATTGAGTTTAAAGCACAAAAGTGGTTTGCACTCACTTAACTCAGCAGCAGGGAGAGAAAAGTAGGTGACAGAATCTTGCCCAGAAGGTTCAGGCAAAAACACCCTCTTGCAGCCTCTTTAGCTTGTTTGTGTCTCTTCCTCATTTATAACTTTTGCCATCTTGACCACACTCTGATGTGGTTTGGCCTCATGTGTCTCATTTTTCATCTGTGAAATGTTGGAGGATATGATCTAGGGGCGGCTGCATATGTGCTTGTTCCCTTCAGTTGCCTGACGACATATGGCGAACCCATGAATTTTATAGGGGTTTCTTAGGCAAGGAATACTCAGGGGTGGTTTTGCCAGTACCTGCAGCATCCAAAATCTGCCAGATAGTATAGCCTTGGCTGAAGTGTTGAGTTGTTGTCCAGGAAACTACATTTTCCATGTTCTGTGCTGGAAATCCTGCTCTTATTTTTCAGGTTTCTTTGCATTCCCAAATTACACATATCCCAGCCTCAAACCCTGATCCAATGCATTGCTGGCTGTTCAAAATGATAGATGCTGAGAGTCCAAGCCTTTTCTGGCAGCCATACTCTCTCAGGAGTTTATCACATGGGAGGGAATCGGCCAAATCCCATGCAGAAACAGGATTTAAATCAAGAAAAGGGGGATCATTTTCAGACACATTGAGCATTAATCTGAAATTAAGCCACACAGAAAGTAGACGAATCTCACAAAAGTGAGATTATTTTCAGATGTATTGAGCATTAATCCAAAATTAATCCTTACAGAGAGTGGACAAATCCTGCAAAAGTGGGATAGTTTTTGGACACGTTGGGGGCATTGAGCATGAATCTGACGTTAACCCACACAGAAAGTGGACAAAATCAGTGGATTTTCCTGGAAGTAAAAAGTAAAAAGTGGTGATTTTGTCCACTTTCTGTGCTGATTAATGTTGGATTCATGCTCAATGCCCCCAATGTGTCTGAAAACTATCCCACTTTTGCGGAATATTCCTGGAATTTAAATCCAGTTTCTTCATTGGATCTGGGCACTTAGCCTCCTGTGTGATAAACTCCTCAGATCACATGTTTGCAAATGTTGCTTTTGGGGACTTATTACAACACCCAGAATCCCCTGATGACTGGGTTAAAAATGAAAATCTAGCACATTTGTTCTAGCCAACTAACTCCCACTCTGCTATGTTTGGAAGGAATGTCCAAATGTTTGGAAGAAATGTCCAAATGTTCAGAGCTTACAACTCCCAGAATCCCCCAATGACTTGGCTGAGGATTCTGGGAGTTGTATGCTCAGAACTTTTCGATATTCCTGACAAAAATTACACAGAATACCTGTAATTGCAAATGGAAAACTAGCAGAATAGGAGTTAGTTGGCTAGAATGTACGTGCTAGATTTTTACTTCTAGGGAACTTGGTGTGTTTCATTGACTTTATTTTACATGGCAGAGCATTCAGAGTTATGCTTTGAAATCTCTTTCAATTTTACATTCCACTTCAATTCTTCTGTGTCCTACAACTTATTCTACTGTTGCTTATGTAGACCAAGCCTTCAATCAGGAGTTACAGGCTAACACTATGTTCAGAGACACTCTTGTCTGTCTTGTTATTAGGCTATCCATATCCTTAGACTGGTTCAGTCTTCAAAATAGGTTCTTCTGCTGCTATGGGAGACCTAGAACCCAACTCTTTCCCTCCTAGGGTAAGAGTGGCACATTGTTAACCTTGCTGGAGGTCAAAGAGAGAGATGGGTAGGTTCCTGTCCATCTTCTCCCCCTCCGTCTGCCTCCTTTGTGCTTTGCCTGCACTTGACTGTCTTGGCATGGGCGATTAAATGCTCCTTTGAACTCTTTGATCCTCCTCCATTCCCTCCTCTCCCAAATATAAGATCTAAAAGGGTCTCCTGTGTTTCTCTTGCCTCCAGCCAAGGCTCACGCGACACCCTCCACACCGATTCCCCTTTGAATCTTCAAAGCCTTTGCATGCTTTAACTGATTACACATTTAGCATCTCTAATCTCTTTTTGGCCCCCACCCTGGAGGCAGCCTTGGGACGTGTCCCTCTTCTTTCAAGCTTGTCTTGTCACGCTTGCTCTGAAGTTCCTCCAGCTCCACATTTCAGCAATGGGGGGAAGGGAGGCAGCTGGAGGTCTCTTTGTGAACTTCCAGAAGAGACAAGACCCTTCCTCTTTATGCCGGGTCTTCTCAGATCTTGTCCTTCCTCTAAACTCTTGGCCAAAGCAATGCGCTCGGAATATCTGCCAGAGATGTACATTCAAGCCTTCCTGTAGTAGGGATAAATGTCATACTTGATTAGTCTGACAAACAAAAGTGTTTCTGAGCAGGCACAGAGTGTTGTTTGCTTTCCACTGATTATTCAAAACATGTGCTCACCACTTTGGAAAAGTGACATTTTTGGGGCTGCCGCTTCTGGAAAGCGTAACCTTATAAAGATCTGGAAATCAGGCCTTGGCTCTTCCTGAGAAACCGCAGATCTCCTTCTGTTGTTGTTATTGTTTTTCTGTATTGTTATAGGAATTAAAAAGTAGAAGCTACTGGTACAGCTAGATCAGTGTAGACCATGGACAGGTTGTTCTTATGCAGTGAAACTCCCCCACCCCTCAGCCCTCATTCACACAGCTTTGCACATAACTTCAGTTATGAAGCACACAGCTAACATTTCTCATTCTGAGCTGCTGTCCTTTGCTTCTACATTCCTGTCATATTAGAACAGTGTAGACTGAATGGCCTATGGGTGCAGATGGTCCAGAGAGCCTGTTTAAGCCTTACCTGCCACTTCCCCATCTATGTTGTTATCTGACAGGGCAGGTATAGGAAGTTTTCCTCATGTCCTCATGTTTTCCCCATTGTTGAAAAAGGGTTGCTAAAAAATGATCTGCACGGTCAAACTTGCTCAAAATGGAGGACATTTTGAAATTCCTCCTGGACAGAAGGTTGAGATGTAGGACATGTCCTGGAAAAGGAGGATGTTTGGTCACCCTGTCTTGTGAACAGAGAAACAGGGATCCTTCTGGGAGAACCAGGATGGTAGAAAGGTTGAAGCCTCACCCCTTGCTATAGTGGTATGAATGGAACTGGGTGAAGATGGGCTGGTGCATGTGTTGGCCAGTGGCACCAGTGGCTTCCATGTCTGTCAGGCAGTGAATCAATCTAGTGAGGGCAGTTGTCATAACTGCAGTTGTCATAATTGCAAAGGAGAACAAGGCATCGCAAAATACAGGACATGCCAGAGAAATGTAGGACATTACAATATCAAAACTAAAAACATTAATATAAATACCGTTTCCCCCCCAAATAAGACATACCCATAAAATAAGCTGTAGCAGGATTTGTAAGCTTTGGCACAATATAAGCCATACTCCGAAAATAAGGCATAGGGCCACAATCTTCATCTTTGTTGCAAAGGTAATGTTTATTATGAAACCTCCTTGGGGGGGGGCAAAGAGCTGGCCTTTGAGCCGCAGGTGCAGCTCTTTTTTGGGCTGTCCCTGGGAGCGGTGGATCCGGCGCTCCCAGGGGCTGCCCAGAAAAGAGCCACGGCTGCAGCTCAAAGGGTTGCAGCCCCAATCTTCGTCTTTGCCATCCCTGAAAGGAGCGGCTCAAAGGGCTGCTCCTTTTGGGGGCGGCAAAGAGCCGTGCTTTGAGCCGCGGTGGTGGCTGTTTTGCGCCCTTTTGGCGCAATGTGTATGCGTGCTGCTCCAAGAAAGCGCCCTGATGCTGCGCAGTGTGCGGGCGGGCATGCAGCATCAGGGCAGAGTCGGGACAAATATGATATCCCATGAAAATAAACCATAATGCGTCTTCTTGAGGGCAAATAAATATAAGACAGTGTCTTATTTTCAGGGAAACATAGTATAAATTCATGCTTCTTACTCATGCTCAAAATGAAAGGTATTTTGGAATTCCTCCCTGGAAATGTAGGTAATGTCCTGGAAAAAGAGGATGGCTGGTCACCTTGGCTGAGGGTTTTCATATGAACTTTAAAATGATTGTTGTAGGTTAACAGGCTCAGCGTCTTGGAAAACCCTTCAAACCCAGAGCAGAGTCACTGACATAGGAGCCACCAGCTGCCACTGATGTGTCCTGGTCTACCATGTTTCCCTGAAAATAAGACATACCCATAAAATAAGCCAAAGCAGGATTTGTAGGCATTTGTTCAATATAAGCCATACCCCGAAAATAAGACATGGGACTCATGCAGACGGGGCGGCTTTTCTGGGCCGCCCCTGGGAGCGGTGGATTGAAGTTCAAAGGGCTGCGGCCCTGATCCTCCTCTTTGCCGCCCCAAAAGAGCGGCTCAAAGGGCCACTCCTTTTAGGGGCGGCAAAGAGCCAGCCTTTGAGCCGCAGCCATGGCTCTTTTCTGGGCTGCCCCTGGGAGCAGCGGATTGGGGCTCAAAGGATCGTGGCCCGATCCTCCTCTTTGCTGTCCCCGAAAGAGCAGCGCAAAGGCCGCTCCTTTCGGGGGTGGCCAAGAGCCGGCCTTTGAGCCACTGCACGGCTTAAAGGGTCGCAGCCACGATGCGTCAGGGCAGAGCCAGGACAAATAAGACATCCCCTGAAAATAAGCCATACTGTGTCTTCTTGAGGAAAAATAAATATAAGACAGTGTCTTATTTGGGGGGAAAACATGGTAGAACCTGGAAGTTTATTTGACTTTGTTGCTGTTGTGTGCCTTCAAATCATGTCCTACTTATGGTGACCCTAAGGGGAACCTATCATGGGGTTTTCTTGGCAAGTTTCCTCAGAGGGATTTTGCCATTGCCATCCTCTGAGAGAGTGTGACTCGCCCAAGGACACTCAGTGGGTTTACATGGCTGACCTGGGATTCGAACCCTGACCTCTAGAGTCATAGTCCAATGCTCAAACTACTACACCATACTGGCCTTTTATTGAACTACAGCCCCACAAATCCCTTCTCTGGTTTTATGGCCTTCCTGGCTGGGGGATTCTGGGTGCAAAGCTTTCAGTCTTGGCCCCAGACAGCAGCCCTACCCACCTGCACGCTTGCACCCCACCACAAAGAATTGCTCATCATGGTGTTAGGGCAACACACACACACACAGAGAGTCATCTTTTTGTCCATTCTGATTTGTGTGTATGTTTTTTTTTTTAAAAAAAGATGGAAATATTTAACATGGCCACTTTAAGCTCACTTACATCACTGCATCCTTAGGACTTCAGTAATAAAGTGGAGTTTGCTTTTGCTGCTAAAGAGATTAATAGTTGAATTGGCACCACTTTATTGGATTTGAATTGGCACCACTTTAGAGCAAAGGTGTGAGGTTTTAAAAGTACCAATAATAACATGAGAGAATCTGCAACCATGTACTTACTTGGCTGGTCACTTCCTGGCTATAAAACCTTTGAAACAAGAAAAGGAAGGATGCTATGGCCAAGTGCATCTTCATCAGTAGGCCCTGGCATGCCCAGGCCAGCCCAAATACTGATGCAGGGACTCTTTTTTCTCTGCCCTCTTCACTGTCTGCTCCTTGGATGTTCTTCTGGGAGTCTTCCTGGCTTGTAAAGCCCTTGATGTTGGCCCTGGGGTCCTGGCCTAACTGCATCACTTAGCTGATGTAATGTCGTTGTAAACAATGTGACCCTATACATTAATTTACTTAGAAGTAACCGCTATAGAACACAATAGGGCTTTCTTCTGCTTAAAGATCCCAGAAACATTGTAAGAGTGTGCGTTTCTAGGAGAAAATTCATTGATTCATATCTCTGCATCAATCACCAGTTCACCAGAAGTAATGTGTGGGGTGATTTCGAAAAAGTAATTATACACATCCAAGCTTTTCAGTCTTCCCCTAGATAGTTGTTGTTGTTACAGATACATTAAAAATATTATTATTGTTATTGAAACTCAAAAGTACCTACATGTTTATTTTTAAAAAAACATCTGAATGTTTTCAGATGCTGGCCTATGGAACAAAACACAAACTCCTCCTGACCACTTCATTGTCACCTCAATATTCACAAGAGAGCTCAATGCAATACCATGAGCCGGCACAAAAGTGTGTGGTATTCATCCTTCACCATTTAGTGAGTCTGCAGAAAGTAACTAAAAAGTAACTAACATTACTGTCATTCCACAGAAGGAATGAAATTATTCCTCAATATGTTAGACTTACTGTAACTTTGTTATGTTAGTTATTGGGAAAATTAGTTTAAAATAACTAGTTATTTATAATGAGTTATTTCCAAACTCTGGCTGTAGTGAATCTATTTCTAGCCTCAACGCCATTTATTTGTAACATAATGATACAGTTAGCCCTCTGTATATATAGAGTCTGCATCCACAGCTTCACCCATCTACAGCTCAAAAATATATATTGTTTAAAAATTCCCAAAAGCAAACCTAGATTTTACCCCCCCTTTTTTTTATAAGGAACACCATTTTATTATACCATTGTATATAATGAGACCCAAGCATCTATGAATTTTGGTATCCACAGGGGGTCCTGGAACCAAACCTCACCAAGGGCCCACTTTACAATGTTATTGAGACACTGCTTTCTTGTTTTTACAATGTTGATCTCATTTTAGGCTAGTTTGGTGGCTGTGGCTGCTTGCAGCATGGTATAGTCACAAACTAGTAGTGGAAGCAGAATCTGTAGCCTGGAATGTGAAAATCTGTCAATCTCATCTGTTTCTCAATATCCCACTGGCATTCTTGCTGTGCCTCACTTCTGTATCAGGTTACGAGACTTGTCCTTTGCTTCTTGCATAGACATTCTTACTGAAGTTTGTGTCTTTGTTCTAAGTATAGGCATTTTTATACACTTTTTTGGAAGTATGTATTTTTGTATGCAGTTTGTCCATTGACAGAAGTGGATTAGTGCTCATTTAATGTGAAGTCATAGGCTTTCATGGCCAGCTTCCATAGTTTTTTGTGGTTTTTTTGGGCTGTGTGGAGATGTTCTAGAAGAGTTTCTTTCTGATATTTCGCCAGCATCTGTGGCTGGCATCTTGTGCTCATTTATTTCAATTTTTATCCTGCTGATTATTGAAACATATACCGTACATGGTTTTATGTGCATTCTCCTCTTCTGAAACATACATACAGGCCTGGCAAATTCACAGCCTTCCTAGATAAGATACACACTATTCCATGCCTGGTGTTTGGAGATGCAAAGTAGATATTAATGTGAGTACAAAACATTGCTTTTCCATTTTATTCTGGAGACCCAGGTTCTCATCCCCATTTTAGTGATGAAAGTCACTAGATGTCCTAGGGCCAGGCACTAGCCCACAGCTGATAGAGAAAAGAATGGGGGATCTCTATCTGCCTATTGCTCTCTTTATCCATTGCTTTAGTTTGGTGATGTTGTTGTTGTTGTTGTGTACCTTCAAATTGTTTTATTCTGAGAGGATGAGATTGACATAAATGATAGTACATGGTTCTCTTGACAGGATTTATTCAGAGAGAGTTTCCAACTGCTTTTCTCTGAGGCTGAGAGAGACTTGGCTAGTGTTACTCAATGGGTTTCCATGGCTGAGGAGGAATTTGAACTCTAGTCTCCGAGAGTCCTTTTCTGGCATTCTAACCCATATACCACACTGGCTCTCTTGGTGCTTTAGCTTCTGTTAAACTTCTGTGAGGACAAATGTGTATGCATGCATGGATGCATAATGTGCAACCCTGAGTTATTTGGCATAATGTATCTGCTGGGGTTTGGTTCCAGGAACCCTCGTGGATACCAAAATCCATGGATGCTCAAGTCCCCCTAAATACAATGGCACAGTGAAATGGTGTCCTTTATATAATATGGCAAAATCAAGGCTTGCTTTTTGGAATTTATATCTTTTTGGAATATTTTCAAGCCATGGATGGTTGAATCCATGGATATGGAGGGACAACTGTTTGGGTTTTTTTAATGAATAAATAACATTCAGATTCCTCAGCCATAAAACCCATTGGGTCACCTTGGGCAAGTCACATGCTCTCAGCCTCAGGGGAAAGCAGTAGCAAACCTCCTCTGAACAAATCTTGCCAAGAAAACTCCAGGGTAGGTTCACCTTAGGGGTCGCCATAAGTCAGAAATGACTTGAGGGCACACAACCACAACAACAAACTATTCATTTCAAATGGGGAGACTCGAGCTTGTGCATCAGGAAATGCTGACCCTGTCTCCCCTTTTCTTTCTCTTCTTGTCCTCAGAGTTATCTGAATGTTTTATGGTGAATGGGGCTGATTATCGGGGTTCACAGAACAGGACCTCACTTGGGAGCACTGGCCGTGCCTGCCTCTACTGGAATCAGACTCGTGAGCATGCCTACAACACAGCCAAGTACCCCAATGGTGAGTGGGGCCTGGGCAGTCACAACTATTGCCGGAATCCAGATGGTGACGTCCAGCCCTGGTGCTACATCTCGGAGAATGAGGAAGGCATCTACTGGAAGTACTGCGACATCCCAACTTGCCACAGTGAGTGTGGGACCCAGGGCAGGCTCTGTGTGTAGCCTTGAAAGTTGCTTCTTTGAACAATTATTTCCAGAATTCCCCATCCAGTGGTTAAGGGTGGATTCTGGAAGTTTTGGACCCCCAAAATTAGAACATTTCCCAGCTCTGATTTGATTTTCTCAATGGTGCTGTTGGACAGCTCAGCTTAGGACAGCAGCCAACAAACACACTATTGCTGAAATGCTGGCTCAGGAAGACAGACATGGCTGGGAGGATGCCGCCACCCCAGCATATTGCCTGAGGCAGCCATCTCACATGCCTGATGGTAGGGCCTTTGATTAAATTTTAGCCTTTCTGGTGAAGATTTGGCTAGCCATTCCTTTAGTCCACTATAGCCAAGCCTTCACTTAGCAATCTCAGCTTCTCACACAGAGATGTTTCCAACACGCTGTGGCAGATGAATGGGAACTGAGGGAAAGATTGGGAAAGCTAACACATGTGCATTGGAGAGAGGTGTGGGTGTTTCGCCAAGAATTGCTTCACTTAGTTCTACATGTTTTTGACAGGCTCTGTGCAGTCATAAAATATAAAATCCTATATGGCTCAGGTCCAGGCTATTTGAAGGGCCATACTTCCCTCTATGAGCCTGATAGGACTCTAAGATGTTCAAGAGAGTTACTTCTCTCTGTTCCAGCAACTTCTCAGACTTTTTTGGTGGGACCAAGGGAGAGGGCCATCTCAGTGATTGCTCCCAGACTTTGGAACTCTTTCCATAGGGAGGCTAGGATGCTCCCTGCCTGACAGTCGCATCACTACAATTGATGTCACCCAGTGTTGGTGCTTGGAAACAATGGAGAGATCTGGCCAGGTCAACAGTCTGGCCAGGTGGCTGGTGGCTGGTGGCTGGCTAGGGGGACAGATGAGCAAGAAAGAAGGAGAGATGGAGAGCAAGGCAGTCGGCTGCTACCCCTGCTGCAGCCCATTCTGGCTACCGACACTGGGTGACACCAATCCCAGTGCCACCATTGCTGAGGGGGGCGGTGCTGTGGCCCTCCAGAGGGCCCATTTGAAATCTGGTATAGCTTCTGGGTGAGGGAGAAGGGGACACCCTTTCTCACTTGTTCAGCAGCTGTGCCAATCCCACCAGGTGTACCACCGCACTTGGTGTACCTCCTCTGGACAGTCACCCAGTGAGATCTGAACCCCCTGCACCCTGCTCCTTATTCTCCTTCCACTAGTAAGTAAAAACTCTCCTATTTTTGTCAAGCTTTTACAAATTGACTGTGATGGGCTTTCAATGATGCATTGTGCTGTTTTGTTACTTTTTTATATTGTCTTTTGAATAATTTTACATGGCTTTAACTCTACTGATTGTTTAACTGTTTTTAAAATACTGTGTGTGTAACAAAAACATTTATATAGTTTTTAGTCTCTATTTGTTTTAATAATTTATAGGCTACCTTGAATCTCATTATT